TAACCCATTGTGTAGCTTTGTTCTTCATTACAAATAAACATAAACATAAATATACAACCGGCTACATCTATCACTTATTACCTTCGGGGTGTCTCGGATATGATTCGTCCCATCTGTTTGAAATACGGAAGTGCATAGGCAACGACTGGTTCGAATTCATCAACATTTATTGGGAGGATGGTATTGAGGTAGTCCAACCACGAAAACTAAAATATATATAATATAATTCATAATAGTAAACATTATTTAGAAGAAATATTATCTATTTTGTTATAATTACAAAAACACACACTTTTGTTTCGTCTTCGTCAATCTCAAGTATGAAATAATTAAAATAAAGAAAATTAATACTCTTCGTTTTTTTTTAATTTATTCATTCTTCTTAAACACAAAAACAAAAAAGCACAGTCTTTCAATAACATAAAATTTCCGAAATATTTTATACAGAAAATATGTTCTAACATAAATGATCAAGATACCTATTTTTATTATAAGAAAGTTTTAAAGATTAACGACGAAAGAGGGAGTAAAAATCGTGATAGCTATTTTATATTTGTTATATTCCATTTCAAACTCCTACTTAAGTTCTCCAAACTTCTCACTTTTACTTTGTCATAACCCCCACCCCCCGGGTGGCTCAGAGATAAGTCTGAGGGCTTATAACGCAACAATCAGGCTTCAATACCCACAGTGGGTAGAAAACAGATATCCCATTGTGTAACCTTGTACCAAACAAACGAAAATAACTTTTTATTATATAGGGAGCGCTGTTTCCTAGCTACGAGTAATATTAGTATCGTTTGTTTCTTTGACTATTTATATTTTTTTTTCTTTGAAAACTGCTGTCAATGTGTTAATTTTTGAATGCTAGAAATTACTAAACATTTTTCGTCAACTTTTTTTCATTCATTTCAGCCCAAATAAATTGTGTGTGAGTGGGTGTTACCCAACCCTATAGATCTGACAGATTTTGATGAATATCACATTTCTTATTCAAGTGGTGGCTACCAACACTATTCACCAGCTATGAAGCTTCTATGTTTATTTATTTTTTAATATCAGCACACTTTACTCACTTCTGGAACAATATCCATAAGTTCTTGAACTGTCATCTTGTTATAGATGGCGCCAGTATCATGACGATCGGCCTCTGGTATTGAAGCCTGTAATTACAAAGCCATTATATAGAACTTTTAATTCTAATTTAAGATAAATTTCAAATTAATTTGTTCTTGTTATAGGAGAAACAATAGATCGTTCATGAAAACGCTATTTTTAAACTATCTAATAATAATAATTTAGTCCCAATGATGTCATTTCTTTGCTATTTTTGCACTAACTTCACTCTATCAAAAATTTGTTATTTTACTTTTTATAGGGGGAAGCGTTTCCTAGTTAGAAGCACGGAGGTTCTGTGATTACGAGTAATCTTGTTATCATCTGTTTTCTATAGATATAGACTAACGAACAAATAATATCAAAATATACATAATGTTGTATTAAAGTATATATATGTTATTATTTTTATTTATTTAAAAATCCGGAAGGAATTTGAACTATTTATATATTGAATTATAATTACATTGGCAAGCCTAATTTCAAAATTTAAAACATCCTCCATCTCCTTTTTAGCATACTCTTCTTCAGCTCCAAGTAGCACAGCGACCTCTACCATCAGTTTGTGATAAGCTTTTCTTTCCCGCTCACTGCTGTCTTTGAGGTAATATTCACGACTTGGAAGACCAAAAGGCATTTGATCTAGCTGGAATAGAATAATACATGCAAATTAGTTTACAAAATAAATTTTGACGCGAAGGCTTGGAAGCATTTGCAGGATTTTCTCATTATTTTTGGTAAATAAACGCTTTAATTAAAAATGTTAAATTCAAATAAACTATAGTTTACAATATATAAAATAAAATAAGTCGTAATTTTAATTAAACATCATCATTCAATTAGTTATAATTTAAATAACGTTTTTGGAGTAAAGTAAAAACTATAGTTAAAGCAAGGATAATAGCTTTAAAAAACGCAAGAGGGAAAAATTGACACAATTTTAGTTCAAACTACCTTC